TCGCGACGACGTCGTTTCGACGAGACATTTCTCGTCGGGACGGTCGCTTCGTGCGTCCCGGCGTCAAAAAGCCCGGTAAATGTAATCATCCCGCGCACGTGCAGTTCTCGCGAGCAAACCTTCGCGTAGCGTTAAGTCCTCGTTTCGCAAGTCCGTGTTTCGGTATAACAAAGCATCGTTATTATGCGTTAATCGTGATCGCATAGCGATCATCGGGCGGCGCGGATGCACCGCAGCGAGCGTCTTGATTTTTGCACGGTAAGCGCTTCGACTCGTTCTTAATTAAACTCGTTCGCGCGCGCGAGCGCGTGATATCGTCGGGGGATCGCGTTATAACGGGACAAAGCCGCGATATTATTTTTCCCCGTGGATTTCGCTGATTGCAACCTCCGCAGCCGCTTGCGCACTGGAGACTCCGAGCGGCTGGAGCTTTTGGAATCGCCGGGTGAAGCTTGCAGTTGGCGCGTGTCGCGCGCGCGCGCGCGTATTGTCCCTTTTAAACCCGAGACTCTCGACGAGGTCGACGACTACGTTGGATTGTATTTCGCGGATCCTGTCATTAACTCCTTTTGCGTGTGGGACAATACGCGAGTTACCCGTAACGTGAGAACGCATACGCGTGGGCTCTGTTCGTTATTCCTTGATTAATTGGTCCGATTGATCCTCCCCCGGCGGAACAATAAAGTATGAGGAAAACAAATCTGAGTGAGAAATGTAAATGCTGTGTTCAGCCTGAGTCGAAAGCTAATAGCTCGGTTAAATGCCCCGGCTCGTTATTGGCTCGTTACCAGCTGATTATTCATTGGAAATATCGAAAGCAAGTTGCGGTACTTCGAGTCGATGGCGCTCGATTCTTCACCGTTCATGTGCAAATGTTAACAACATATCACAAATTAACGCAGCAGATCTTCTCAAAGATTACAGTTGTTTGCAAACGTCGGAGCAGCGTGAGCTGATATGAAATTAATGTTCCACTTGGTGACTTAATGACCGAGTTTTCCACTTTATGATAAATGCGCCTGTTTCTCTAACTGAATCAGCTAATATGCGTCTATATTTATTTTACATATGTGTCTCTATCATGAATATTATTTTATATATATCGTTAATATAATACGTCAGATGTCTACATTTGTTTGCTCCGTACAGTTAATTTTTAATCCTTTTGGGGATAAATTAAAAATTGATGTAAAAATCGACTGTAGCAATAAGCTATGTACTTTTGCTTCACATACCGAAACGATTCTGCTGTAGCAACGAAACCCAATGCGCTGGAAATAAAGAATAATAAGAAATAAGAACTGCTAAAGCTGCAAAGCGAGATATCACGAGTATGACAAATGACGGGTTAATTGCATTACGCCACGTTAAAAGACGATCGCGTGGGACCGGTCGATCTCGCGGTGAGCCTGCTGTTACTTTGTCGCAAAATTGCATTTGCATTATTGAGAGAGTTGCTCTTATGCGTTATTTAATAGGGCGCGAGGGAGTGATTGTCTTGCATATCGAAAATGTTTGAAAGCCTCTCGGCTTTCGTGATATTTTCATTTCCGATTTTATTGTCGCCACAGATCCTTCTGCCGAACGTACTAATATATTATATATTCAACGTGTACGTGTGTATATTATATATATATATATATATATAATATATGTAATGTATATGTAAAATATACAAAATATATAATACATATATTTAAATACATGTATGTCTCTACATACGTCTAAATATACGCCGAAAGTCTGACTATACATCACGCTATACTACTTTCGTCCATCCACTTGAATCATTCGTTATAACGAATGTATTTATTAAATAAACATAAGTGCAAATAATGTTTATTTTCGATAAACTGTACAAAGCTCTCTCGCGTAGATTAGGTCATATCGAATAAAAAAAAATTCTCTCCCATTTTGCGAATCACGTAAAATCATGAGCTATTAACCGAATTTTTGCGAACAAAAATAAAGAGAGAAAAAAAGAGTCTTTTACATAGTTTTATCTATAATAACAAGCACGTCTCCAATGTGAAAAGCATAAGTCAAATATATTTCTACTTACATTTGCATATTTTACTTTAAAGTTTTTATGGTACTCACGAATATTACTTGAAAGTTTCACTCGGAGAGTTTCAAGTAACTTTTTCCCGACTAGCCATTGAAAGTCAGTTTGTTGCCTTTCGTCGGAGGGATGAGTCATGTGCGTGCGTGCGTGCGTGCGTGCGTGTGTGTGTGGCGCAAGAGTTTAATAGCAAAATCCAACAGTAACGTTCACTGAAATCTTATAACGAAACCAACAGTGGTTGATCTTGAAATACTTGGAAATCCGAACGATCGCTTCGTGCAACCCGGTGCGAAGAAGTCCCATAAGTGCAGCCATTCATGTTCCATTTACGTGATTCTCTCGAGCATGATTCCCTTTGCAGCGTTAGGTCTTATCTTACATGAGTGCGCGATACGAGAAGCAACGAGAGCGACCGAAGAGCTTTCGTACGTAAGACATCAAGTGCAACGATGAATTATTCAGCTAATATTACATCGATGTACGGCAAGGATGCACTTGGTTGTTTCTGAGCCGTGACGAGCCGTGTTTCCCGTGGCGGTCGCGTCCGTTCTGCAGACGCGCGATCACTTCGTACGGCCTGTCGCTCATACATTTTTCGACTCGTCAAAAATCCCGCACCCTGCACCCACCGGGAGCTTCAGTCTACTCGCGAAAACTCGTTGCACCGCGATGCGATTTACGGTCTCGGTTGAGAGAAATTTCACAGGCCCGTCCGTCTGTCCGAAGCAACCTGGCGTGTCTGTGTATCTTCTCACGGTGGTTCTTGGCGAAATTCCAGACGCAACGCGAAAATCCATTATATCCTCGATGCCGACCTCGACGACGGCGACTAAGAGTGAAGGAGAGAGGAGGGATGTTCGCGCGATTTTTACGCGCGTTATATTTGCCCTCGCGCTCGCGCTCTGTGCGGCACTTGAATAATTCACTTTAATGCGCACTCCGAGAGCGCGCCTTTTCACTCACTCGTTCGTCGATTGTCCCGTCTGTGTTCGTTGTTTGCATAATCCGTCATGAGAGGAGCGCATCGCGTCTGCATTACAAGCGACGCGGGACATCGAATGGCTTTTCGCATCAATCGCGTTCACGCGTCGCGTGAAGGCAACCGATCGTTCCGGAGCGTTCGCGACGTCTCATGGAGATTTTCGCCGAACATTCCTATCCGGCGCTCTCACGTATGCCGATTTATGGAGCGACGGGGTTCTCTCCGAAGAATTCAATTCAGCCACGGAGACGAGGAAAAATTCGCGAGCGACGCCGCCGTTTGTCGCAGCGTTCTGTGTCGTTTTTTCCGTCGTAGACAGTTGCATCCAGAATTACACATTTTCGTGGGTTCGGTCGAGAGAAGGGAGCGATATTCAAGCAAGAGTTTCCGAAGATGTATTTAAAATATATAAAACTGAACAGAGCTCTACATATGGTAACAATAAAAAGATATAATAATAATAATGACGAAATAATGATGAGTGAAACAAATTAAATATAAAATATTGGAAACAAAATAGTAATAGCAGTAGGAACAATATAATAATCATAAATATAATAATAATATAAAGTAGAATAACAGAATCGGCTAGATCGCGGAGGCCGAGGAGATTTCAATTTTGTGATTCAGCAGTCGAGTGTTAGTGTGTTAGTCGGCACGACTGAGATCTTATCGTCACGACCGCACGAATCAATCATCGTGCGAATCAGCGAGTCAGGAAGCGCGCGAGTGACAATTTTTCATCTCGGATAAGCCCCAGAGAGAACAGAATGCGCGAAAGAACCCGGAGGAGCGCGCTGCTTCTCGCGCCGGATAATAAATCGATAATTCGTGTGTGCGACTTTCGATCCTGGAATAAGCGAGCCGGACAAAGTGGCTCCGCGTGTGCCGGCGATGTGCTCCTCTCCTTTTCCCTTTCCTTCTCTCTCTCTCTCTCTGCCTCTCTCTCTTTCCTTCTAGCTCTCCCTCCCGGCCCATCAGCGCTACGTTGGGGTCGGTTTGTCTCCGTTTGTCCCCGCGAACGGCCGATTATGCGGGACGGGCACGGCCAATTTCTCAGATCCACGAACGTCGAACGTGCTGCCGGAGAGATGGACGCGAATTGTTTCCTTTATGGGGGGCGCGCGCGATATCGACGCGCCACGGCTATTTCTCGGGAGCGAGCATTCCAGGATCCTAGTTTCCAAATGCGCGAGATTTGTCAGATCCTCCTCAGCTCCGCCGGAAACGCCCGAAAGTTTGACCAACGTATTTTCGTGCGTTCGTTCTCATCGCCGTCGCGGGGTTACTTTTAATTTCGCGAAAGGACTGTGTGTTGACGCAGGTATGTATCAACCGTTCGCTGTAAACAACGCGAGCACATACTGCCGACGCCACTCTCAATTATCATCTGTGCGTGTCGCAAGTTTACATTTCCGATGCGCGTCCTACACGTACACACACACACACACACACACATACACACACGTGCGCGCACGCGCGCGCGCGAAGTAACGCTCGGCTTTATCTCCTTGCTGCGAGAAGAGTGTAGTTATCCTCGAGTGTATCGTGCTCCTAATCTCTATTTAAGGAAATGCGCGACTCGCTGCTCTCTCGCGCATTTCCGCGGATTTGTTTCCTAATTATTTTCCCCCGTTCCCTCGGCATCCGTCCGACAAGGCATCTGACAGGCGCCCTCATCCGATACTTGTCCTATTATCTGTCCTTTCTCTCTCTCTCTCTCTCTCTCTCTCTCTCTCTCTCTCTCTCTCTCTCGATATGTTCTCTATGTTGCATTATGTGTGTCTACGACGACAGAATGTTTGGCAAACATCGATCAAAAGTACCCCACTCGAGAGCTTCTTTCGCTTCATCTCTTTTTCTCTCTCTCTCTCTCTCTCTCTCTCCTTTTCTCTCCCCGTCGCTAAGAAACCCGTCGATGGTAATCGTGGTGTCTCTTATTCTGACTTGCAGAAAAATGAAGCTCGATCTGGACCGGGAGAAGGGCCTCGAGCTCTTCGGCAAGCTGATACGTACAAAGAACGTCGAAAGTCTTCAGGGTGACCAGCCCAAAACCGGTCCCGAGCCACTTCATCCAGCCGACTCCAAGCAGAAATTACAGGTAACGGAGATAATGATAATGATGATAACAACAAAATTATCGATTCGTAAAGCGCGTGCAAACAAGATCGGCTGGCAGGAGCTAATCGTTAAATACCGGGGGTGCGATGATTTCATCCACTTAGATAGTATTTCATGATTATCGCGATGCAAGACAATCGATATGATGGAAACTTTAGAATTCTTGTAATTAACGCTCACGAAGCGAATGTATCGAATTGACCATTAAATTTACTCCACACGATGCAACGTGAATTCTTTGTTACAACGACAACAGCGGCAACAAATTTGCTGAAGATTCAACTTTCAATTCCGACTTCCGTATTACATTTCACGTGGCAGGTTGTCGCAAGCAAAGTTTGACAATTCTCTCATATTCTTATTTGGTCAACCTATTGATCAAAAAGTAACGAGAATTTTTTACTTTCTCGGAAAGTATTTATTTAATCTTCAATGTTTATCCCATCTCCTTCAAAGTAGTCCCCCCAGTGATGTTATACACTTGTGCCAACGTAGTTTCCAGTTTGAGAAACACAGGTGGAACGCCTCTTTATCGTATCGTCTTGAGCTGCGGATCTGCGATTTCGCCTTTATCTCATCTATTGTTACAAAACGTTGAGTCCTTTGAGTGTCCTTGTGAGTTTGGGAAATAGGAAAAAGTCACAGGGGGCCATGTCTGGAGAATAAGGTGGTCGCGGCATCACAACGGTGTTGTGTTTCGCCAAGAACCGTTGGATAAATCGTTTCACGTTCAAAACATTAGTAAAAATCGCTTCGCATGAGCCGCATGAAATTCCTATTTCTTCAGTAACCTCTCCAACGGTGATTCTTCTATTAGCAAGCACAATCTCTTGAACTTTTTTCCACGTTTTCATCGCTGGTGGACGCGCTAGGACGCCCAGACCTCGCGTCATCTTCGACGTCTTCTCGGCCTTGCCGAAAGCGTTTGTACCGTTCATAAACTCGTGGTTGTGACATAGTATCGTCGCCAAAGGCCTTCTCTAACATCTTGAACGCTTCGCTGCACTTAATTCCGTTTTTAGCACAACACTTCAGACAAACTCTCTGATCCGACTGATTTCGCCACACAAAAGTCGCCGAACACAAACTAAAGTGTCGCAGCTGCCTGAAAATTGACACGTACGTCTCACTGGTAGCGCTAACAACACACAAAGGAAGAATCAACTGAATAGACAAGATACAGCGCGCGCAATGTCAAAATTCTCATTACTTTTTGATGAAACCTCGTAAATGCCGTGCGAACCCACTCATACGGGGCAGAAACTTTACAAATCGACAGAGGGGCGGGAGAGAGCGGCGGATTGAAGAATCCAAACAGGGCATCGCGTGCTATCGAGAATTCAGCCAAGGTTCCGCGTCGCGTTCAATTTAAGCGCGCGGTTCGCCAGGGTGTCGGCGGTCTCGCGAGGGGATTATCGCCGCGCTTGGAAAATTGCGAATAATCGAGAGCGACTGACGTGCGTGGGCGGTGAATTTAATCAAAGAGTCGGGCGTTTAATAGCTCGCGCCACTCCTAATTACCAATTAAACCTAACTTTTCGCGGCGGGAAATGAGGGACCTTCCTTTTCCCACGCTTCCATCGCTGTCGCTCCACGGCCGGCGATATAGTGGGCTTTGTGCGGCCGAGCTTTCGTTATTTGAGAACCGCGAATTACGACACCTGTAAATAACGTCCTCGGTGAAGAGCTCGAGTAGAAGAGTAAGCACAGCCGGCCCGAGTCGAAAGCTCATCACCAATTAGGGCAGACCGGTTAAAATTTTATAGCTCGTTATCGGCCCGTAGCTGATTGTTCACTGAAACGAGGAGTCGGTTTTTTTCGCGAATTAGCCGTTATATCTAGCAATTCTTGCTATTCCGGAGGAAATTAAACTTGGTGGAAATTATGTCTCACGTCGCTATTAACTAACGATCATTTCTCCAAGTGGCCAGATAAGTAAGTTAGTAAGTTAGTAGACGGCTAAATAAAAGAAATTACAAAGTTATCGAGTGTGTGGAAAGTCATAACCAGTTACCAACTAGTGATGCACCGCTCAATTTTCGGTCAGCGACTAGACAAACGAGTTAGTGACGGTTGAACGAAAGAAATGATATGCACAAAGCGAAAACAGCGTTAAAAATTGAGAACGATTACTTGCCGAGCCGGAGCGCGGAGTAACGCGACGACGTTCTCGCCGCTGCTTTCTGAATTTCACATTTAGCACGAGATAACCTCGCTTTCGATTCGCTATCAATTTTACAAATGCCAGCGCGGCGAGTAGCTAGCTCTCATGCATACTTGAAGTAAGCATCTGCACCATCTGCTCTGTCAGAGCATTACTTGCTGTGCGATGGCTGGACTGGTTACATCACAAAACCGTGTTTACATTTCGGTGAATAATTATCCGGTTGCAAGATGAACAGTTTGCTTCAGCCTGTGTCGACCACTGGCCAGTGGTCTCTCTGTGTCAGGCCGGCTGCTTACATTTCTCCTCGACCGCTGAATAATTCCGCGAGTGCGCGAGCGGACGACGACAGAGAGAGAGAGAGAGAGAGAGAGAGAGAGAGAGAGACTGTGTCGTGTCGCGCTCGGTCGCTGTGTTTGAGATTCGCCGCGATTAAGGGAGCATGACCATCGTCCATTTCGCCGGGATCGTCGGGCGAAGACAACGCCCGCTGTGGGATTACAAGGACGCCGACGAGGCGCCGCGCCGGCAGGTATGAAACGCCCTAACGAGCGCAAACGCGCGGGGTGGGAAAGATCGTTCGCGCTGGAACTGTGTCGTTTTCGCGGCTCCGACGCGGCCGGACGGCCGTGTAATTTCTTCGTGAAAGAGAGAAAGAGAGAGAGAGAGAGAGAGAGAGACAAAGCTCGCGCTCTCGCCCTCGTCGCTTGTATCCCAGCTGGTGATTCTTGTCGCGGTAATTCCGCCGTCCGGACAGCCTCTGTCGAGCATCCCTTGCTCCCTCCCCCCGCTCCCTCTCTGGCTCATTCGCGAGAGCTAAAAGAGACACACAGGCGAACTTTCTCGCATCTCGCGACGAGCCGCCGTTACTTCGTCCTGCTTCTGCTGGACCTTCGCAGCAGACGGTGCCAGTCGCAGCCGCCGGCGAGCGCATAAAACGGCGCGAAGTTTCCCAATAACCGATCCAGTTCCTAGCGGAAAGTAGCGCAGACACGAACGTAGCCCGACATCGCGCTGCATGCACAATGCGGACGCGGCTAAGACGCGAATTTTATCTACATGTTACGCGAAAGTGGCACGCGAGAACTCTCTCTCTCTCTCTCTCTCTCTCCTCTCTCTCTCTCTCGCTCTCTCGCTCTCGCAATGGAGGTCAGTGCTGATCGACGAGGATGTCGACGATGTCGACGGAGAGCGCGACGACTCGTTACACGATTTTGTCATTGAAAGCGGAGGCGAACGTCGTCAGCGATATTTTTGCCGACGGTGGTTAAACGATCATTCCCGTCCGTCCAGACAGAAGAGGATTTGATTGCCGGCTTCAATTGCGGACATTCTCCGTTTCGTGTCGGCTCGGCGAAAAATCTGCTGATGACGAAACGTTTGTTCGCAACAGCGTGAAAAAAAGAGGCGAGAAAATGGAGTAAAATGCGAGGGGTATTAACGTCGGGACGATTTTCGTTCGCCGCGGGAACGTTGTTTCGTTCGCGTGCGTTTTATCGATTTGTCGCCGACGCACACACACACACATAGAGTGGAGCGTCGCCGTCGTCGTCGTCGTCTTGCGTTCCACCAGTGCGTCGCTTGCGTCCTCGAATTTCGCTTCATAAAGCGGGTCAGAAATCGCGGACGTTGCGACGCGTGCGGCCGTTAAACGACGTTATGCAACCGAGACGATCCCGCTCGGTCTTCTCCCTCTCCCCTCCCCCGCTGCGGCTGGCTTCCGCTATTTACCAAGTCACTACGCGCGGTTCCGGGGCAGCGGAACAACTTCCAATCTCGTTTGTTATTTAGCGACCGATGGTCCGTCGCTGCTCGCCGAGCATATCGAGTTGCGCACCTCCTCGCGGACTCTAAGCGGCGATAATTAAAACTCGACTGTGTATGTGTAGGTTTGTGCGCGCGATAAGGCGATCGATCTAGCGCTACGTGATATTTGCAAGCGGCTTGTTATTATTTCATTTATTCCGCTTGCTTATTCATTCGTTCCCGTCGTCCGCTTTTAATCGACTCCCGTGCAACTGCGGAGACATATATTTTCTTTCGCGAACGAGAACGCTAAGACGAACCTGTTGATGACGAAGCGCGATTGCTCGCAACGGACGAGAAAAATTACGTTGAGTTTTGTTCGCTGCGCCTCGCCCGATGTGCGCGGTTGATAATGAATGGAAATAAGCGGAAATAATTGTTATGAAATGATCACGCAGGATATTCAAGGTTTGTAAGATTCTATTTATACAGGATGTTAAGGAAAGTATATACCGAAACAAACTTTCAGTGGCTAATAAGGGACACTTAAATAAGGAAAGTTCTAAAGGACGTTTAAAGCATTTGAGAAAGCCATTTGAGAGTAAAAATATCGTAACTTTGACAACAGTTTCAAAGAAAAGATTTCAAGTACAATTCCAGAGTTCTCTACAAGTAGAGTTTTTCAAAGTTGAGTTCTGCCGAAATAGTTGAAAAATCGATGTAGAAGATGTCGCACGGAGGAGGGTAGCATAATTAGCCACAACTTTTTAATTCCGACCTATCGCTTTGTTGATATTTATCGTTAGAACTCTTCGAGGAGTTGATAAAACTTTAATAAAATTTTGACTGATTTCCAGAGAAAAGACCGAGAAGATTGTAGAAAATGTCAAGAGACCGTTACGTGTCTCTCACGTCAAGGCAATATTAGTTGAAAATAGTGAAAATCGAATAGATTGTTATATTAAATATACTTAGCCACTTAACCGCCGTTAATTAAAGACGATAATGCGAGTGATCGTTGAATTCTACTCGGAGTATCGGATTTTTCTACCTCAAGACACCGAATAGAGAGTTTCTAGGTCTGCATAATGGACCATCAGAATCGAGACCATTTGAAACAGACATTAAGAATCTTACAGGGTCAAACTACAAATTTTGATATGTCAATTATATCTTTTGCATAACGCGTAGAAAAGCAGCTAGTTAGCTATCCGGCAAGATTTTCGTCATTCCGCGCGCGATCGCATAAATCAGCGTTACGTCATGCGTCGATTCTGCGACAGGTGAATGCAGCTGCACCGGCGCAATAATTCATGCGGGATTTGCATTAATTTACGACGTTGCATCCATTGTGTTTTAAATCCCGTGACGGTGCGCCTCGCGGATCGGTCTTGGAGTCATGACGAAATTCTGCATTGCGAATCGCGAGCGAGCGAGCGAGTGCGCAAATGCGGAAAATGCCAGCTGCATTTTCCATAATTACGGGCGATTACGTCTCAATGGGAATCGGCTAATTATAACGGATAAAATTCTATCGTCGGCCATTAAAGACGTCGTAACTTTTGTAATTAAGAGTAACATCGCGTCGATAAATCATCCCTCCCTCCGCCACATGACCGCCTTTGACTCATTTCTTTTTCATTTATTAGCTGTACCGGGTGATGCGGCGGTAACTCAAGCACTATAGCCGTGCATTTTACAATGTTGCAGTCGTCCGACTAGCTCGAGTCTGCGTAAAAGGTGCCGAGTAAAAAGAGAAAGAGAGAGAAATTATGTGCGAATCGAGAATAGCTCGATCGATCGTTTTTAAGACGAATGTCCCGATTGATGGTAATGGTATCCTAATTTGTGACAATTGCACGTTTTTTTTCTCTTTCTTTTTTCTTTTTAATAAATCTACTAATGCGGACTCATGTTTGTCTCAAACGTGTATTTTTACATTAAATTGCGCATATTATCGGCCATAGCAAGAGCTTTGAGTACGTATATTACACGTATATTATTTGTATACACGTATAAAATTTGTTAATTTATTCATACGATGAAGTTGCTCGGCCAATCGGGACATTCACCTTTCGGATCATTCGGGAGGAATATCCTTACGTGGAAGTGCTATTTAGGATCGGCGGAAGATTCTATCCTGAAGGCGCAAATTTCTCGTCCGAATTTTCACCCTGCCGCGACTATTAGCGATATGTCCGTTAATAACATTGTGCAATGAAGCGGCCGCCCGCCGAGGAGGAACAAGAGAGAAAGAGAGAGAGAGAGACAGGGAAAAAGAACGAAAGCTCACACGATCGCTTTATTCTTACCCTCGCCATCATTTTAGCCACTCCCATGGACGGCGCGAGGGAGCACCCTTGACAGTCGGGGGGGACTTCGCGTTTATTAATAAGTATCGAAGGAAAGTAGTAAAAATGGCGCTGACATTCTGCGAAGAAATCGGCTAGAAGACGCGGGATTATATGTGCATTGCCGCGTCGCGTCTTATTACGGAGCTGCGCGGTAATAAATTGGAAGTCACGCCGCCCTCTCGCCCTTTCCCATTGCTCGCTCGCTCGCTCGCTCGCTCGTTGTATTATTTATCGTTCCGTCGAAAGCTTACATATCGTCTCGATCGTTGCGACGTCGCGCTCTCCGCTGATGACTTGGCCGATTTTCCACGCGCGCAGAGTCGTCTCGCGCGTGTAAATGCATTCGTTGTTCAACATGCGCGGCTCAGCGCGGGACAGCAAGAAGCATGAAAAATGATGCCCGATGAATAATGGCTTTATTCGGATTAAACATTTTTTCTCAGCGGAAGGAAGCATGGAAAACAATTTCAGAGCTCGTACCGCGCGAGCGAGTAAATCACGCTGGAAATGATTTTTCGCGCACAAATGAATTGTTCACGGCGAAATGTTAACTAAAACGTCCGCGTTTCGGGAATAACTCACCGCGCGCGCGCGCGCGCGAGTCGCGATTTCATTTCGCATAGCTGGTCGCAAGCGAGCGTTCAATTTCGGGAAAGAGAAAAATTGGCAATTGAAGAGGCGCGGAGGGATGAACGTTGAGAAGGGTTCGCGCTTCGTCGCTACCGCGCGCTTATTAATCGGCAGATATCGCTCGTGCTGGGAAATGCGGGTGATACGCCGCCCGCCCGATCAATCGAATTTCTGCGACCTTCGCAGACCTTCTCACGTTTTCGTCGTGCGCACCGACGCGACCGACGATGGCTCGCTCGTGGCGGCTGTCTGAACGTTCCACGAAATGTTTGCTGCTTGCAGAAGTGCCTGACGACTCTGGACCTGACGTCTTTAGGGGTTGGCTCCTGCGTCGGGACAGGGATGTACCTTGTCGCAGGAATGGTGGCGCGCAGCGTTGCCGGGCCTGGTGTCGTCGTCTCATTCATAATCGCAGCTATTGCATCCATTTTTTCCGGTGAGTATCACTTCTCCGTCTACCGCCACTACCGCCACCACCGCCTTCCGCTTCTCACCGCTTCATCCTTACGATCGCACCGACGAGCGTAGAGAGAGAGAGAGAGAGAGAGAGAGAGAGGCGCCGCTGCTCCTCGGTCGTTATTAATAGCCCGTGAATTCAATAATACGGTGCGGTGCGGTGGGGCGCAAGCTCTCGGCAAAAAAAACGGCGAATTAGAAAGGCGATTATGCAAGCGCAGCCACTGCGCTTGAAAGCTGCATTTGCATTCGTTTCGTGCGTCAACAGCCACTTCGCGGAGGTGCGACACAACGTACACGTGCGCGCTCACACACAGGCTACATTCGGGTCGTGATGGAACTTAGCGAGAATCGTCACGTTAGCTCAACACACACGCGACATTCGTCGACGACGCGGTCGTTCGACCGCGCTCGCTAATTGGGATCGACCGGCGCCCCTTTATCAAAATTGTTTCTCGCGATCGCGTCCCGCTTTCGCGGGGATCGCCGCGCGCGCTTTCACGCGATGGCGATTCACACCGCCGCGGTACGCAACGTCGCGCCGTTCGAAGTGGTGCATATATTCACACACACACACATACATACATACATACATACATACATACATATATAAAGCATGTATATAGTCGGAGGGCGCCGACTATACATACACAATTCGCTGTGAGCAGAATACGAAAGCAGGGCTTTATTTTTGCCGCGATTCACAATCCTACTGAACGCGAAGAAACGGTCGCGCTCGCGAGAGAAAAGGGTAGAAGTGGCCTTTATCCATCGTAGAAAAGGGGCTTCCGACTATTTTTACGGGCGATCAATTTAACGATGGGCTAGCGCGCGCGCGTGTGTGTGTGTGTGTGTGTGAGTGTGTGTGCGCTCGTACATTACGACTGGCTGGCGTGTGGATGTGATGTCAATGCTTCGGCGGGGGGGGGAGACGGATACAGAACGCATAATACTTCCGAGCGAGCGACCGGCCGGCTGGTCGGCTGACAATTCGTATGACAGTCGCGAATAAATTAGGAGGATGTGAATGTTTGATCGACTGGCATTAATAATTAATCGCGCGTTACTCGCGGTTTCGTCAAACCTTGATCGTTGCGTTATTCAATCTTCGAGATACGCTCGAAACGTAATCATTATTAATTGTATAATATACATCAAATATATATATATATATATATATATAACGCAGAATAAAGCGAGTCGTAACAGCCGAGGTTTTGTCGGGCTCTATGAAAATTTGCTTTCAGGAAAATATGAAAATGGCGCACCGGGTGAATTTCAGCGATACGCAGCGATGGCATTTTTCGAATTTTTATTTCAACGTGTATTTACATTTATACAACCGAATTTTCAGTAACGGTAATATGAAAACTTTGGTTTATTTTCTTATTATTAGAAAATCATTGTTGCAGTAGTGGCACTTATTGTTACACCGATATCGCGCTTGAAAATAATATTCGATCTCTGCCGCGTCTCCCACCGAGAGATTATTACAATATTGGGACATGATTGAAAGAATACATAGATAAGATTTTCAATGAATAATATATCATACGTAAAGTAGTGTAACTTTCTATACCGCAAATGTTCGAATAACATGAATATTTCCTGGTCGGGTGAGCTAGCACAATATTTTCTTAGTGGATATTAACATCTTCCAAAAGAACTCTCCCCGTGTGACATTAATTAATAAACATCCACTTAGGAGGATAACATAAATTTTGTGACGCGTTACATAATGTTATTTAATGGCTTGAGTACGCGCGCTCGTTTGATATTAAACTCTACGTGTCACACGACAAAACTGCACAAAACTCCGCGTTATTACAAAACTCTCCGTATTCCGTAATAAAAATTGCGACGCGTTTATAACTTACTCAACATGCGCTCGCTTGGACCAGGTTGTGTTTTATGCACACTTGTGTAGCTCGGATTATCATGTAATCGCGATATAACCCGGACTCGAGTCGCTCCTCCGGGGGATTCTTCGATTATTTTCCGTCGAATGTGCAACACGTAGCTCCCGCGATTGTCATCGTCCAACGAGGCGGCAACGATATTTTTGACGGGATAGAGGTCTCCTCACGCTAGAGAGCTTCGACGAAGTTGCGATTTGAGTAGCGTGATAAGTCAGGCAGCTTCTCCCGAGTAGAGAGAGAGAGAGAGCACAGTAGACCCGGGGGAATAACTAGTCTGTAGTGGCCGGGGAGATAAGAACCTTATTCTGTGAAAATATGGATTTCACTGGCGGAATATATGGCTTGGAAAACTCTCGTCTTCTCTCGGCCATATATCACGTATAAATCCGCTGACTCTGCGAAGCCGCGAGCGAATTTACACTCGTAAATACATAATTTTGCAGAATCCACGCTGTAAACATTTGCGGTACAGTCGCGACGGCCGCGAAAATGGGACGTCATGGAAAGTAGAAAAGTTCATTAAATCCCGTTCTCTCTCTCTCTCTCTCTCTCTCTCTCTCTCTCTCTCTCTCTCTCTCTCCCTCTGTCGCGACGCGACAGAGAAAAACGTCGTCGATTATAAATCCCGTCTCGGACGGGGAGTAACGTCGTAATAATCCGGGAGAAGCCACACGTGATTATTACGCAATGTTACATAACGTCGTAGCTGTCGCGTAAACTCCCGCGTAAAACAATCTCTTTTTGCTATCGGTGGTAGTTTGGTGCGATACCGCTTTAACGTGCAAATCACATTTCTCCCACGTTCTCCCATATTCTCCCACACACGGTGTTTGCGCTAATCTAGATAAAATTATATACACGATAATCCGGGTAAAGGCAAATTTCCGATATATACGCCAACGTACATTTATTCAGATAATATAAATACACGCACCATCTTTGTCCGCATTTTAAATAAAAAAAAAAAATAAATATTATCCTTACAAAATTATCACAATGATGACGTTCACAGAAATTTATTTTGCACCGCTGCAAATGCGTAAAATATTGAAATATTTGTTTTAAATGTCGCTGACGTTTGTGTTGGCATTGCATATATCATTGCGACCGATTTATAATCAGGACTGAAGAGAAATTTACATATTTCCTTTTTCATCTTTATCCAGCTAATTTTTTAATTATCCGAGCATAACACTGACTGTATAATATTTTCTAATTACTAATGCAGTTAACACACTCATTCTATCTATCTCTCTCTCTCTCTCTCTCTCTCTCTCTCTCTCTCTCTCTCTCTCTCTCTCTCTCTCTCTCTCTTTCTAGCTGTCTTCGAAGTAAATGTCGTGTCGCGAGTAGTTTACCTTAACTAACGGGTACTTAGGTTATTTCACTGCTCTATACTTAGACGTCGCATCGATAACAACTTGTCGGCCATTCGAGTTTCTCATCTGCCAGCGATCTACTCTCAAAGCAGCCGCGAGAAATACTCGTCAATGGAATTTACGATTCATCGCGCGTGATACGAGTTCCTAACGTTGTCGTCGTCGTCGCCGTCGTTGTCTCGTCGTCGTAAACAGCCACGTGTTGTCGCGGCGGGTACTCCAACCTCCGTTCGAAATTGCAAATACGGAGTTTCAGTCCGGCGGTAAGGACGCGAGGGGAACCGTCTTTCAATCAAGCTCGCTTCGTTGTCGATCCTTTTATCCGACACCTCGAGAAGAAGTTCGCCAAGTAATCCTTACCACTCGCTGCGTCACCGAATCATGTCGATATCGTGACCGCGTGACTCACCAAATTGCGTCCTCGACGCTGGAGGAGCTTGAAGAACGGCTTAAAAATTTTCACGGGATAAAAACTTGTAGCTCCTCTAGGACTCTTCAATTAATTTCCGAACTTCCGACGTGATTGATCCGAATCTCTCATTTACGTATAATTAATTTCTATCTGATCGCGTTGAAAATCTTTTAATTTCTACATATACAGGGTGTCCCGTTTCAGTCAGTCCAGTCAATTTTCTCCCAGGTTGTTGGTGATACAAGAAAAATTTCTCGAATAAAAGTGGAACGATTTCAAGGGGGATGTACTTTGGTCATGTTGTCTTTCTTCTAGATGGCGGCTTTGAAAAGATATGAAAGTCATTTTTATCTTGAGAAAAACATAAGCAAAATACGTCCCTTTCGAAACTACTTTTATCTGAGATACTTTTTTGTATCATCAATAATCTCGGAGAAAATGGGACATCCTCCTATACGCGATCATGAAGAGTAAAAGAGAAGCGCTTCGATCATTCTCTCGTTAGATCGCCCGCGGCCCTCAATGGTAATTATCGATCTAACTAACATGCAAAGCTCTCCAACTGGCCCGATATTCAGGATGCGGCGCGAATTAATGGTAGGATTAAAGTTAGAACAGGACACATCACGGCCATGTCGTTTAATTAATTCGTTGCGTTGTTAACAGGCGATGCCGTCGGCTGACGGTTGACATAACGTACTAATCGCCGATCAGACGATAATCACAAAATCGAGAACCTTATTAGCGCACACTTCTAATTTGCGGTTTTTCACAAAGGACAAAATCTCTCTCTCTCTCTCTCGCGGAATTTAAAATCCGAAGTCGGCGATTTGAAAGTGATAACGGACTATCGCGATTTTCGAATTGTCCTCACTTTTCTCCACGTCATTGACAAAGAGCACCTTTTGCTCTTTTTTATAATTCGTCAAGAGCGTATAGACAAAAGAATTGCTTTGTGAATTATGAATAAATACGTAAATAAATATCCGGACAGAACATCCTAGCGGCTTTAAACAGCGGCAAGGGGAAAATTAAGTTACTTCGAAAATTAAGTTTTCTCGTCGCGGCTTCTTCAAATATATTCATATTAGCTGACAGCTGGCAGGAACCGCGTGACGTTTGCGAGCAACTGAGGAGACAACTAAATAATATAAAGGATTTGTTACCTCAATTCATTTGTTGTCAGTGTATCGTAAGATGTGTGCGAACAAAGTAAGCACATGTCAGCCGAATAACCCGAAGTGTCGTAACTTTCCATTTACCGCAAAAGTAGGTACGTTCTCCTTGCTTAAATAAATAGCATACGCGAGCTCCGTTCAGATATTTCTACGTCGACGGTTTACGTACAGTCTTTAGTTCTCCACGTCTCGGCGACTCGATCGCGACTGTCTTATCACATTCGTCCGGCTATAAATAATCGTTGTTTAAAGAAACAAGAATGTATTCTTCGACTTATGCGAGACGGTCTCTATACTTTCCGCTGCTCGATAGTTACGAAAGTAAAATAAAGCTAAGAATTCTGCAGCGCGGAAGAGAGACGGAGCAAGAAGGGAGAGGGAAAAGAACAGAGCGTGTGTTTTTTTTACTTTTCCACCGTCCAACGGCTATCTTTTTCTTCTTTGGACTTTGGTAGCCCTTACGGACGATAACATACGCGGGACACAAATTTATCATCAATGGTTGTTGCTTTCTAACCTTGCCGCGGCAGTACAGTTTGCGCAAACCGGCCGACTATAGCAGAAGAAACGGCAAGTGCAGTGGCTGACGTCAAAGGCAACGACGTCGCCGACGGGGACGTGAGAAATCAGATACCGCATTGAGCAGCGCGCTCGCAGTGCGTTCGCATTGAATCCGGATGCTGCCGCATCAACAATACGTTAATATCATTAAACTAGAGAGGCAGCGTTCACCCGACGGTCTGAAAAGATCGCGGCTGTAAGCGGATTAGATCACGTTTATATAGGCGCGGGCGCGAGCGAGATTTATCCGCTGCTGTAATCCAGGCTGAAAGGTTCAACCGACGTTTAATCAGTCGGTTACGTAAGCGAAGCATAATGATCGCTTTGGCGCCGAGGGTAATTTTCCTTCACCGCCGCGCAGAAATGCGCCGATCGCGCCAGCGTAAGCCGCTTCGAAATAACAATAGCGCTCCGCGCGGGCGCTTAAAACCTAACGAATTTAGGCGGTAACCGTTTGACATGTTCCAAAGCGCATCGAAGCTTCGGTTATGCTTATGGTTGAACCAACGAACCAGACGCATTTCGCTCGAAGAGAACGAAATGCGTCCTGTTTCTTACGAATCAGATTCAATTCTCAACGACCAAGGCATTCTGCTCTCTTCAAGTGGAAACGTCCTTGGCTCGTTCGGGGTTTGTTGTTACTTTAATCGTACTTTTTTTCTTCATGCGGTCTCATTTGTCCTTGAAGTTGTCGTTGAAGTCTGAATGAGAAGCGAGCAGGTGCATTTTTGAAAGAGGGAGAGCTCGGATCCTCTCTCTCTCGAGGGGTAAAAGTCACCCTCAGAATCCCTCTGCCGCTTACGCCGTCGTGCCGCTTACGGGTAACTTTGTCTTCCGTCTGATTACAGGGGCGTGTTACGCCGAGTTTGGAGTACGAGTGCCTCACACGACGGGCAGTGCTTATATGTACAGTTACGTGACAGTAGGCGAATTAATAGCATTCATTATTGGATGGAACATGGTGCTGGAGTACCTTATAGGTACGAGTGCGTGTGCGTGCGCCCTTAGCGCCTGCCTGGACGCGTTGGCGAACGGTGCCGTTTCCGAGGCGATAGCCGACAGCGTTGGAACCATGTTCGGTGAGTGAGCAGAACATAGTCGTCATTGCGTTGCGCGAGACACACGCTCGCCGGCGATCAGAGTCGGCGTCGTCGATTACCGCCGCGGAGAAGTTTAATATAACGAACGCTTTAATCCACGCGCGTGTGTTGTGTTACACAACGTATTATTGAATTAGCACGACGGAGAGTCGTACTAATTTAATAAGCTGCAGAAAAAGCAGCTTTCAGCCGGGAATGCATAATTCTATGGACATCCTGTTCTGCGTGTTCGCCTCGCGCGCGCGCGCGCCTCGGTAAATCTTGAAGCGGAACAGCAAACTCCTCCGTATCGAATGTTATACGTATATATGTTGAGGATAGGGTGTTTAGAGTTAGAGAGATGGATGAAGATTCGAAACTATATGGAGTAATAGCAGGAATGCCGCAAGGTTCGATCCTGGGTCTTACGCTGTATACAATTTTTACGTCAGATATAGCCACAATCGAAGGAGTAATGATGGCGCAACGTTCGCTGATGATACAGCAGTATTATCCGATAGCAGTGACCCGATAAGAGCAACTGTGAACTTACAAGCGCAACTATCCAAGCTTCAGCGGTGGCTGCTGGACTGGAGGATTAGAATTAGTTCACAATAATCTAGTCGTATAATTTTTACCTTGAATCGGAAATGCTGTCCACCAGTTGGTGCAATTGGTGATGAGATCTTACCACAAGCGGAACCAGTTAAATACTTAGGTATGTTCCTCGACTGCCGCCAGACCTGGAAGGAACATATTCGTGCTAAGCGCGCAATGAACTGGCCAACAAAACGCGAAAACTTATAATTCTACTTGATAGAAAGTCAAAACTCAGCCTTGAAAATCAATTGCTGATATACAAAACTATCCTAAAGCCATATAGAACTGTGGGGGGTAGGGGGGGGGACGGCTAGTAACTCAAATATAGAAATCTTACAGCGCCATCAAAATAGTGTGTTAAAGCTCATAGCACAGGCATCTTGGTTTACCAGGAACACTGAAGTACACGCGTATCTTCAAATTCCAACAATTAAACAAGAAATAAGAGCAAGAAGTCGAAAATATTGTCAAAAATTATCTGGTCATCCAAATAAGTTGGCTAAAGCATTATTCTCAGAAAGGCGTCAACACAAGAGGCTAAAATGATATCATATTCTGGAATTATTCGAGCGGTAACGAGTTTCATACGAGGCAGGGAATCATCATCCGCCTTTCACAATATCCACTCACTCAAAATGTCTGCTTATAATGCTACATATTGCAGATGTCCACTACGAAAACAAAAAAAAAAAAATTAATGTTATCTTAAATTAAATGATTGTCGTGAAACGTGAATCTCGTACATCGTGAATATCGGCGGGATAAAAGGAGGAAGGTTCAGCCGGAAGTATATTATTTCGTAAGTGTCCTACACACGCCCGCGTGGGTCCTGATGATTTTTTCACGCGTCAGTAAACCTTAAAGTCGCAGCTTCCCGTCCGGTCGCTCATAAAAGCGTGAAATGCCGAGTCATAGTGAACGCTGTCGTCTTTGCCGTCGTCCTCGTCGTCCTCGTAGTGCTCGGTCGCGATGTTGCGGAAATTTACGAGCGCATTTCCGTCCCTTGCCGACCCGAAGACGAGTGTTCGGGCGACGACGTGTGAGTTGCCGGACTTCTTTGTCGTCGTCCGGTCGATCGCGGAATACTCCCGACGGGTCTTTCCCGAGGCGTAGCGGAAAAAGCGTTAGTTGAGAAAGACGCGGGCTAAAAAGAACCTACCTTTTACTTGCCTGGCGACTTTAATTCGCGGCGACGTCCTTATTGTCGCGCGCGCACGCATGGATTTGGATTACCAGCGCGATTGCCAGCGTTGTGGCTTTTAACGTTCGCGCGAGCGACTGTTTGCGGTTGTATGTACGAGGGACACGTGGTGTGTCTTCTATTTCTGCGGATATCGGGTCGAAGGATAATGATTTTTGACTTACTCCAGTTGCGCGACACCGACACGCCAAATGAAAAAAAAAAAGAAGAAAAGAGAGGGGGTGCATGTGTGTGTGTGTGTGCGTGTGCGTGTGCGTTGGGCGCTGACCGAATGAAACTCAATTGGTCGTACACAGCCGTCGTTTCTGCAAATATATCGTGACAAAAAATGTGTGACGCGTCATGCATGGGCTACGTGGTGTAATGAGATTTTCAATTAATCCACGCGATCCGCGCGTCGGATAATCAGCAAAAGCGGCTCGAGGGCGCGAGGTTCTTCACTCGGTAAACAAAATGCTCGCCCTGTTCGCTCGTCCCGAGGTAGCGAGGGCGTAAATTCGAAAAAAATCTCTGCGCGCTCCTGCCGAGGTGCTCGATCCAATTTTCTACAGAGAATTAATTTACTGACGCTAGCGGGCTCCTCGTTCCGACGTTCGCTCGAAAGGCGAAAAGGCGGAACGTCATAACAGTCTAGACGTTGCGTTTTTTTCTTGTTGACCGCGGTTCATATAAGCGGAATGTCCGGGAATACCGACCTTAATTTTCACAGCGGGCTCTTCAGCAAACTTGAGGGCAACTTTTCAGGTCAATGTTTCAGGACAGACCCGTGAAAGTCTATCCCCCTCCGCGACTACGTTTTGATATTAAATATTTAATATGTTGGGACACGAAGTAGAATATCAAATGCCCGGAAAGTATGAGATACAGTGCAAATTAAAATTTCATAAAGCTTCACCTGTGCTTCCTATCTGTGCGTGTACGTGTGTAAATGTGTAAATTTCGAACGCGAGAGATGCGAGCTCGTCTCTCGATCGCATCCGGCAGCCTACTTGGCGGAGATTAATTCTGACGAGAACAAAAAGAGTCGTCCTTGAGGGATCTATCAGTGAAATTAAGGTCGACATTCCGGCAGCCGTTCGCAGGTGGGGAGGCTCCGGATTCATCCATTAATTCGCGACACGTTGTCGTCAACGAATTGATCGCGCGTACGAGCACAGATTGTAGACCGCTTAATGCGGGCAATTTTCGGCGTGCGCCCGTTTTATGAATATGCCGTGTTTAGCGGCGCCTGGCAACGGTATTAAGCCAATATCCCCTAATGTGGACGCCGATGTGCGAGCGGCCCGTCGCTGGAAAAATGCCAGAAACGTCCAGCGGCGATACGCCGCGCTTATCGTGCCTCGGAAATGACAACACGCAATTATCGGGCCCCCCGTGTACATGAAAGCCATGATTTATGTCGCTCAATGACGTCAGCTTGATAAAGGACCCGCTCGTTCATTTATCCGCACAGCTCTTACGTCATAAAGAAACAACGGACGAACGTCTCGATTCATCTAATAAGGTGTGCTCGCCACAGTTCACTCGCTTCTCTCTCTCTCTCTTTCATGATCACGACGACTCGGTTAGTAAAATATCTCTTGACTTACAAGACACGGCTGTCATGCCGTAGCTGATAAGCATCGCATCTGATAATTCGGCGCTTGCACAGCTCTCCCGTGCGTGAGGCACGGGAATTAAGCACGCAATTAGTCACGAGCGGATCGAGCCGCCGGGTGTAAGAAAAACTTGCCTCCCCTCGGCCGCCCTCCAACGTTCGGACGACGACTTTCTAGATTTTTCTTCGAGTTTCCAGCCCTTCGCGAATTGATTCTGCTCGCGGCTCGATTCGAGTCCACCCTCGGCCGGCATTCTCATCGGGACGGATAATGATTTGGAAGCGACGTGAGTGATTTTTCGTGTTACACCGGGCGCTTTCCGCCCGGATCAGCCTCCTTCTGTCAATTTTACGAGCAATCCACGTGGGATCTTCCACGCTCTCGTTCTCGACATTCGTGTGTGCTCTTGAGAGGCGGAGAGAATGTGTGCGCGCGCGCGCGCGCGCGTCGATTCCATCATATCGTACGTTCGTCTGCGACGGACTTTTTTTTCACGTCAAGCTCGAAGCGCATCAAGTGGCCGCAATTGTGAGCCGCCGCTTACCGCGTTGCGTGGTAATCCGTTATGACAGGAGAGCCGACGTGACAGCACACGATTGCTAATCATTGGTCCTTTATTATACTCTTATGCGATACATAAGAATGCAATAGAGGTACTTTTCCGGAGCCCTTTGTTGCATTTGTGTTGCATTGGGTGTGTGTCATTTCGCTTCTCGTCGTAACGCAATTACCGCGTAGGTAATTTGTAAAGCGGCTCATTTGACGTGTTTCTATCTTCATCCTGGGAACGGAAAAAAACGTGGCTTTCAAAACGGTCCGAATATTTTTCGGGACGCAGCAGATAAGTCCGATAACGGAGGATTTAATTTCTGGGAGATTTTTCTCAGAGATCTCCACATTTTGGGAAGACGGTCACTGGAGCATCGGCTGCGGTCTCCGAACTGCGTCCAAAAGCAATCTCCTGGGAAAGGAGATTTCGGAAAATGTTTCACAAATTAAAATCTCTCATTAGACACTCGACGCACACTCTGCGAATTGCAAACAGTTTCGTGCAGTTCGCATCCGCGAACTGCACGAAACTGTTTGCGCGAACTGAGATCCTCCTTCCGTGGGTGACAATTTCGTGCGCTTCCTCCATCTTGTGTCTAAATCATCCCTCAACGAGGTTCGCTCGCGAGCCGTTTCCCAAGTGGATGCACATACTTCGTGACTCATTATCGATCTACGCCGGTTGCGCATTTCGCGCAGCGCATTGTGTATTGTTTGCTGCTGATGTTTTATTTTATTGCAACGACGCATTAACCTGCGTAATTAATGACCAGCTCGGCTCGGCTGGGGCTCGATAATAATTAACACGACTTTGACGACTCTAGGTAATTAATTGTTACACGATTGCACGCGACGTCGGTCTATTAAAGTGCAAATGAAATAATTACTTCACAGCTGCCTCGTTCCGTGCGCGCGAGAGACGAATTTGATTGATTTTTTAAACATTCGCCGGGCAAAATGCTGGGCTCCAGTTTGCCAGTGTCGCACGTGAAATAAACAGCAGGGCGTATTTCAACAATATGCTACGACGATCTTTCGTCGCGCAACACGTT